AAACTGTTTAGCATAAGCCAGACCTCATGCTCGCTAGGCATTTCTCGTCCCAAACTATTTCGTCTGTTCCTGTCAGGAATCGGTCTGGGACTTGATGGGGAACCGTTGTTATCCCATATGCCTTGGCAGGTTCACTACAGTTGACGCCGCGTACAACATTGCCTCAGTTTACAAACCATGTTCAGACCCAATTTGTCCAACATCTATCGTATCACATTTTTACAATTACGCTTGCCAATGCTTCGTAATTCGTATGTATGTGCTATGGCTCTTGCATAGAAACACGTGTGGCAGAACCGATGAAAAATATGGGCACTTTTTATGTTCTTCCTGCATTTCAAATCCAGGTCCATATAGAACCTTATCAACGTGCGCACGTGGCTTATAAAATTGCATACGGGAGATAGAGATGTCAAAGTCAAATATTCTATCTTCGTAGGCAAGCTAGTACCAATTAATATCTCGGATTATTATAGCCTGCTTGTGCAGAATCTTTCCTAGAATGGGCTTGCATAACTACATAATACACGTTTGGCTTCGTGAAAGTAACAGATTAAGTGAGCAAATATGTAGTATCGCGGAACCCACGCGATTTTTACTCATCGATTCACTGATTTGGTGGTCAACCGATGACCATCCAAGAAGATCGTGATCACGCGCCAAAAAGACGCTATAAAAGGCAGCGGAGTGCTAGCCGAGCCAATACCTTTCCTTTTTATCTTTTCTCGTGCGATTTTGCGATGCTGTGCTCTCTGGTACGTTGCGAACTTTACGATCATGCGAGCTTGCAACTATTGGTTCATATAACATGTCTGTTGTAATATTTTTAATTTATATTTTCTACTGTGATAAAGTGCTCTTCTGCGATGTCACCTTCAGTTGTACTTACCAAAACCCCACGAACCCTTGAGTTTTGGTTGTTGTTTAGGTTATTGTTCCATTAATTGTTCTGTTTCTTATCCGGTTACTCAGTAAACGTTTAATTACCCAAGTTTGAGGCACTCTACAAGCACGCGTGGCACAGTACACACCGTCACACAAGGCATTCTACCAACGGCCAAGCCGTTCCAAGCAGAAAATTCGGCAATTTTGTGCATGATGATTATCTGTATTCTTTTTAGATCCGAGGAAAGATGGTCAGGTGAGACGGGTGAGCCAAGGGCTATCGGTCTTGCTATGGTCGGGCGACAGCATGTGGTTCGCCTTCGTTTACTGCCTACCCCTCCTCAGCCGTCAAACAGTGACTCTTCGTTCACGTAAATACTTATTCAGTGTGTGTTATGAAATGTATATTCCACAGTAAATATATTAATTTAGTGCATTACTATTATTAATCAATGTCAAAACAAAAATTTAAAAACATGACAATCAGTTAAAGCCAAAAGTAGATGATATGTTACAAGTGCGCCTCTGTAAGAGAGCTGTTGAAAGATTACTTTTCACAGAACTACAGAAAGTTTGATGCTATAACTTACCTTTGAACAGATTAGTAAGCTAAATGGGGTCAATGGATTCAACACTTATACAGTAGAATGACAGTCACTTTGAAAAAAGTTACTTTTCCGAGTTTCCCAAATTAATTGGCAAAACCGTCCAAACCTGAGCTTTTAATATCAACACAATAGGAAGAATTCCTAATTAATCGTCTGCTAGTACCCGCAACTGGTGTGACTAAGTCTAAGGCTACATCTATCTACCTACACATTAGTTCATCCTATCCAATCGCCTGCATAAGCTCATTCAGTGACAACTCTCGGCTTTCCCACGGATGTTGGAAATTCTGTTGTGGCGGCGCAATGAATTCCAACTTCGGAATCTGGAAAAATCGTACTTCTTCCTTCAACCTCACTTCAAAATTCTACAGTACCTTATTGATGGTGTCTTGAGTGGTTTTCCCGAGGACGATAATCCGAGGAATGCCGATCTCTTGCAAGGACTTTATTCTTTTGCCAACATTCTCCTCAACTCGGTCATCGAGTAGAACGCCTCCTTTCAGAAGGCGATCCAATGATGACAGTGTCAGCTCAGTGATCACATTATGCAATAATTGCTGTAAGCTCAACTTTTATTGTGAACGGAACAATTGGAATTGTCATTTATCTGTCTTCATACCTCAAGCTTGCGGAAGTGACCTCCAAAATGGACGCTAAATACGCAACATTGGATACATGCACCTTGTTTTGATGCTCCCACTTACCAAAATAACCTGACTATGAACCCATCTCCAACTCAACAAGACGTAGCACCAGCGGAATGGAAGATTTTTTTAGCAAAAAGGTCGCGGAGTAAGATGCACAAGGTTTCTGATGTGCAGAAACTTGTGACGACCAGTGGCAAGGGCGCCAAAAGTGGATAAAAGTCTGTGACCAGGACCTTCACCAACCACTACAGATCAACAAAAATAATCTTCTTATCCTCGGGGTTTATGATCGTGGGATTCACGAAGGCGTCTGCGACCATTACGGCACTATTCTATAGGATCAGACCCACATTTTGAATGTCAGTCGAAGTCTAAATGGGACTAGACCAGTGCCTGGAGATTTAGCTTCAGTTTACCCATCCGAACACGAATAGCACACTCATTGGGTACGGGATCTTCTGGCTCGTATCCTGCGAGCTCTGTGCAAACCTCACTTCAAAAATTGAGTGGGAAATTATCGAAAAAATCAAACCACAAGCAGTTGAGCACTAATGAAGATTCACAAAAAGAAAACACATGTACGGGTCCAGCCCCCTCCCAGCATTGACGTCAACCCTGCAAATCCGTCCCTAACCGTCCCCGCCGCATGTGACGTAAAATTCGTCACATCTTTCGAGGATCTTCAGCATACACAATAGTTTGCATTCAGTGGTCAAGAGCGAGGGAACGCCACTTCAGTAGCCACGGCTTTTCGATCATCCTTATAAGACAGCAATAGTCACCTTAAAGAATGATGAAGAATGAGGAGGTCTGTCATTGTAGTGAGTGCAACAAAGCCTATCGAGATTTCTTATTTCTCAGCCGCGCTATTTATTAGCGAATGCGCTGGAACTCTAGGAGTCAAAACCACAAATTAAATTTTCAATTCCCTAAAAGTGAACGCACCTTTGTGACCACAACAGCGGCTGAAAACGGAGCAATGACGGAGGGCAAGCATATTCGCTCTTCACCTTCGGGAATTAAGGAAGAAACAGCCGAGAAGTCTTAACAAGAACTCGGAAACTAAGTACATGGGAAAACTTTGCTTCATACTCTGATTGATATGCCAAACAGCATTTTCAAGGGAGTTTTTATGCATGTGACAGCACGAGTTGCTTCAGAGTATTTTGTCTAGGAACTACGATTGTGAGTTTTGTAATTAGCTTTTTTTTTACTGGCACAGCGTGCTTTGGTATTTTCGCGTAACATCGGAGGCAGAAATAATATACTAAAGAGCAGCAAAGCTCTCCTAAATCGTTATGAATGGAACACTCAATCACATGCACGATACACAGGGTTTGTGAAAAAAAAAAACACCTAAATTTCAGAGAGGCTTCAGGGAGTTCGGTCAACAAGTGCAGGATTGCAATGAAGAAAAGAGGCCTAACACGAACATTTCACAAGGAGTGGACAATAGGTCAATCCGCCCAATTAAAATAAGATGTATGCTTATTTCCGTGCCTCAAGCCTCTGAGTTCAAATCTGCTTCCGTTATCAGCCCAACAATTTAATAAATAATGCTATTAACCAGTTAAGCATAGCAATAGTGACCTTGACTCAAAGGCGAGAGGTCATGCGATCAAGTCAAATGTAAATCCTACTTGCTCTTCTCAGAAATGCTAGAATCTCGCAACATATTTCGAAAAGAGCAAAAGTACGGAATCGCACTGGAGCTGATCTCATTACCTCTTGCCTATGAGTCAGAGTCACTACCGCTGCGCTTTCCTGCTTCATAACTTCTTTCAGGAAATCGTTCCACAGATAACGAAAGCAGATTTGAACTCAGCGTCTCGAGGCACATATATAGGTAAACATCTCATTTCAAGTGGCTTGTTTCAGTTCCAACAATTGCAATTTCCTTGTTAGTGTTTGCGACGGAGGGGAAAAACATAGAACATGGTCGCGAGGAAACGAAAGTTCTCACTCGTGATTAAACTATGATTACTGAAGTGGATTCAATAAAAGCAAAATTTGGTACCGAGTTGGAAAGTATGGGCGACTTCAACGGTGGAGAATGTACTCACAGCGGTGGGATCACCACATTCGCACACGTGTGGACCGTCTTCCCTTTTGCTACCAGATCCGCAGCTATAATAAAAAAAAACTTGAAGTAGAACGAAATATCAACAACCTTATGCTCCTCTAAATCACTTACCTGGAGCAGAAATGTATTCCATCTTCGTCCAAAGGATTTTTCAGATGGTACTCGTGTGACTGACTCCCACCATGGATTCCTGGTGCAGCCGGCACCTGAGGAATCGTAAATGAAGAGTAGCACAACAAAAAGCAGCACATTGAGGAAAAACTTGAACATTTTGGAAAAACACCTTATA